ATTCGGACACAAACTGCAGGGCCTACAGTTTGTGAATCACCTAAATCTATGTCTCCACTCAGTTCAGGACTCATACAGGAACCAGATTCAGCCCAGATGTGTAGCAGTCACAGACTTCCCCAGCCTTCGCCTCACTGGAGGGTCTGGTCGAAGACAAAGCACAGACTCGAATCCACTGGCCCTGCAGCTCCTGGAGTAGTTGCTCTCTTGGTGCAGGGTGCGTGGACTCAGAGAGTCTGCTTGCCTGGCTCAAAGAGCCTGCTCGCCCAGCCCCCAGCCAGAGAAGACCCTGGGCCGTTCAGTCCTGATCTCCTCTCTGCTTCCTCAGCGACTCAGTCTGTAATGTCCACGGGGTCTTTGTTCTGGCGTCCTGGCCTCCGGGATTGGATGGGGCCTACCTGGCTCTGTGCGTGCTTTTCAGCTGCGAATCGTGGTGGTATGAGTCCAGCCCACACTCGGGCCCAGGAGCCCTGCCACTCCCAGAGAACTCGCTGCCTGGACGCAAGGCGCAAGGGGCTGGGGGAGCCTGCTCGGCCGGCTCCGGGGGGCCTCCTCGCCCCGCCCGTCCCCTGGGCCTCCCTGCCTCCAGCAACTCAGTCTGCAATATCCTCGGGGTCTTTGTTCTCGCGTCCTGGCCTCCGGGATTGGGTGGGGCCTACCTGGCTCTGTGCGCGCTTTTCAGCTGGGAAACATGGTGGTATGAGTCCAGCCCACACTCGGTTCCCGCTGCCCTGTTGCTCCCAGAAGACTCGCTGCCTGGGCGCAAGGCGAGCGGGGCTGGGGGAGCCTGCTCGGCCGGCTCCGAGAGGCTGTTTTTCTTTTAAAGAGAATAAAAAAGTAACAAAAAATAACAACATAGACAAAAATAAAACAACATAAAAATGATACAAGGTTTCAGAACAAAATGATAGGAATTAACAGTGGTTGTTATATTACATATTGTTGTCTTCAATGAAGTTGCCCAGATTACCAGATGTAAGAATGCAAGATTGATCAAGCCATTAAAGAGAATAAAAAATAATAAAAAAATCAGAAATGATACAGAACTTCACTAAAAAACATGGTAGGAATTCACCAATGGTTGTTATATTGCATATTGTTGTCTTCAAATTAGTTGTTCAGGTTACCAGATATAAGCATGCAAAACTGGTAAAAAAATGTAAGCATTAACTAACTGTTCCTTTCAGTAAACCAGTAGACATCAGCAGTACAATTTTCCCAGCCATCCTTGTGTATACATATATATTTTTTCCCTTCCTTCTTTCTTTTCTCCTTTCCCTCCTCTCAGTTGTTCCTTCCCTTTGAGCAATTTCTTTCTCTTTTACAATATCTATTGTACCATTTGGGTTTTATTTACTCTTTTAGGTTCTTATGCTAGTGAGACAATATGATATTTACACATGTGGGTCTGATTTATTTCACTTATGAGTATGGTCTTGAGTTGTATCCATTTACTTATAAAAGCCTCAAGTTTATCTTTTTTATAGCTGCATAATACTCCATTGTATAAAAATTCATCTTTTTTTTTATCTATTTCCTGATTTTCTTCTAAGAGTTAACATTGTTGTAGCTATTGTGTTTATATCTTTGATGCATGTTGAGTCAGGATTTGTTTTCAGTTGAGGTAAGCATCTCTCCTTACTCTTTTACATGTGACTAACCAGGTACCTCAGTATTCCTTGTTGAAAAGGTTACTTTTCCCTATTCAATGGTCATGGGAACCTCCTCAGAATTCAGTGAACCATGAGCACATGACTTTATTTCTGGACTCTACATTCTATTCCACTTATCCACATGTATATTTTTATGCCAGTAACACATTACCTGATAAGTGCATTTTTGTGGTAAGTTTTGAAATGAAGTATGAGTACTACAAGTTTATTCTTATTTTCAACATTTTTGAGTCTTTGAAATTGTATACAAATTTTTCAGATCAACTGGGTCAGTTTCTACTAAAAGGCCAAGTGTGATTCTTATATAGAATACAATGAATCTATGGATCAATTTGAGATCTATCACATATTGCCATTTTGACAATAGGAATTCTTCTGATCTATGCACATGGGATACTTTTCCATTTATTTAAATCTTTTTTTGATGCTTCATAGTTTTAAGTATACATGTCTTTTATTCTTGTTAAATTTATTGCTAAGTATTTTATATTTTTGCTGGTATTACAAATGCAATTATTTACACACTATGCTTTGGGATTTTTTTCTCTTAAAAAAAGAAGTATAATTTATTATTGTATATTGATGTGGTATCCTAAAATGTAGCTGAACTTGTTTTTAAATTGTAATAGGTGAATGCAAATGATGAGAGAGGCATTCTTGTCTTGTTCCTGATCTGACAACTTTACTTCAGTACATATGGTGTTAGGTGAGGTTTTCACAGATGCCTTCATCAGATTGGTAGAATTTCCTTCTATTCCTAGTTTGTTGACTATTTTGTTTCCAAATGGATATTGAATTCTTGTCAAGTGATTCTTTTTCTATATTTCTTGAGATACTTGTATGGTATTTGTTTTTTATTCAGTTGATATGCTGTATTACATATCCTTAGGTCTGTGGGATAATCTCACCTAGTTATTGTATATAATTCTTTTTATATGTCAGTAGATTCTATTTCTATTTTTGTTGCAATATTGTGCATCTGTATTTATAAGATATATTTGTATGTAGGCGTCTGTTTGTGTTACGTTTTTCTAGTTTTAGTTTTAAGGTAATCTTGGATTTACACAATGAATTTGGAAGTGTTTGCTACTCTTCTAAATTTCAGAAGTGTTTGTGGAGGAAAAGTAATAGTTCTTTAAATATCTGGTAAATATTACCTTGAAACCACCTGGATCTTTTTCTTTATGGATGATGTTTGACTCTAAATTCAATCTTTTCATGTTATAAATCTATTATTTTCTATTTTTTTCAGAGTCATTTACAAGTGCATTTTATGTCTGTTCAAGGATTTTGCCCATTTTATCTAATTTGTGCAATTTTTCCAGTAATATAATTGTCACTAGAATTCCATTATAGTACCCTTTTCCCCAGTGAGACATGCTCTAGCTAATTTACTCAGACTGGGCTTCAGCTTGTGGTCTTGCCTCAGCCTCCCAGCATACCTGACTGTAATCTTTTTAAAAAAAGTGTTAATGATCATTTCCCCTCTTTCATTTTGGATGCTAGTTGTTTATGTCCTTTGTTCTTTTTCTTGGTGAATTTTCATAGAGATTGCACATTCTTGAGAACCAGCTTTTGGTTTCACTGATTTTTTTTTTTGTATTTTTCATTGTCTGCTTCATTAGTTTCCAGTTTGTCTTTACTACTTTGTTCCATTTGCTATCATTTACCTTGCTATTTCTGTTGTTGATGATGTGTAGTGTAACGTTTGATCATTCTCATTAGAGATCTTTAAAATATTTATAGGTATAGATCTTCCCTTGAGCACTACTTTGTGTCCATCTCACAAGTTTGGTAAATTATATGTTCATTTTCATTCATCTCAACTATAATTCTAATTGTCCCTCTCAGTTCTTCTTTGTCTCTTTGGTTGTTTTGGATTGTTCTAATTTCCACGTATTTGTGAATTACTGATTTTCTTTCTTGGGAAGAAAGAAAATGTTGTTTTTTGAAAGAATGATTAAACACCATATTATGGCCCTCTTATTATAAAGACTGTATTTCAACAGATTTAAAGGTAAGAAATTAGGAAATTTAATGCTGCTCCTTTGATCACTCCCCAGTGCAACAGGGCCACTGATGTCACTGCCGTGTTGCGGGCCGTCCGTGTGATATTCCCTTGCTCAGCCAGTAGCCTAGAGGCTGAGCAGAGGTCACAGAGGGAGTGGCTTACAGTTCAGGCTTTTATTCTTGTGAATGTTTCAGTGAAGTAGAACTGCTCCAAGTACATTTTGCATTTGCATTAAGGTTTTTTTCTTTTCTCCATAGCGATCTTTTCATTCCTGACTCCACTATATGAGATGCTAAATATCACCATTTTCCCACATGATTCTCTGACATTTTTCAAAAACTTTGTAATAAAGACTAAGGAAAATCGCCTTGAAACTAACCAGAAGGTAAAATGTGGTGATCATGTGAGAATGCTGATTTTTTGATATGTTGGGCTATATAGATATGTGCTGTATACTTCGCCCTGTGTTTTGTTAAAAATAGATAAAGAACTCTAGGTTTATAGCAGTACAGGGTTAACATTTGGGGAATGAAAAAGGTAGAGATTAGAGAAACCAAAGACAATGAACCAGAGAGACAGTGTTTAACATTTAATAGCAAGAATGAAAATTAGTGTGCCATCGCATAAATATGCTTAAAATAAAAATTTGCCACTTTTCTTCCATTTGATAAGTTGTCAAAGCATAAACATTACATTGAAAATTTATTTTCATGGGTATTATAAATCCCCACACTCAGCACTGGGAAATAATTATCTCAGTTCTAAGACTCTTATTAGTCACATTCTTCAATGGAAGTTTTCAGTGTACTTGAAGTTTTTTCTGTGCTAACTTTGAGCCCTGTCATGGTTTGGAGTGGACAGGTTTCCCTATGGTGCATTGAGGCTGCCATCTGACAAATCTGGCTTTGCCTTAGGTATCCTGGAAGCCAGCACAAAAATGTGTGCAGGTAAAGGAAGCGGGAAAGTACATCTTAGGTGGCACTGAGAATTGTATAGCACTTTGGGAGTCTGGAATACTTCAAGATACTTGCCCCAAACCTGCATATATGTTTTAGAAGTGGTGGGAGGTTAATCCATGAGCCACCAGTCAAGAAATAAGGCAAGAAAGTAATAAGGATTGGAGCCCAAGACTTCGATCTGAACAAGCATGTGTGACAGGAGAAAGAGCCAGCAACTCTCTAACCAGGACTCTGTGTTCAAAAGCCAGAGAAGCTCAAGAGCAGGGAAGGCAGAGACCAAACCTGAGGGATCAAGAGCTGGTTTTCTCTCAGGGAAATATCCTGTTCTGCATGGTTTATAGATGCATGCTTTTCCCCCTGATGGCTTAGGCAACACCAGTCACATTTCTGGACTTGACCATATTCTTTGAAGGGAGGTTATATTCTGCACTCCTGATTCACTTCTGACATCACAAGTGACTGTTTATCCTGAAATATTTTTTTTCTTCCAGCACCGAGTGGATTTCCTTCAGCGAATGATAGAGTCCCAGAATTCCAAAGACTCAGAGAGCCATAAAGGTAACCAACAGTTCTCCATGGTCTACTGATGGGAAAGCTCTGAAGAAGAGAGTTGTTTTGGAAGTGTGCAGGAAGGTTTCTAACCATATGAGCATTTCTGCCAAATTGCAGTGAGACATACACTCAGATATTATATATGGCAGCCAAAAGCACTTTCTAGTGCACACAGGCTTTAATATGTTCAAAGCTTGAAAGACAACCATAACCAAGCATGTCACGGCTAGAAGTTATCAGTCTCGGATCAGCTGCATCAGAACAAGTGCTAATTCTTCAGCTTCATTCTCAGGGTTCAGTGAATCAGAACCTCTACCTGGCCATCCAGTCAGGGGCACATTGTTCAGACAGGGGGGAACACTCACCAAAAATACTTGGTGAAAGTGTGTCCACTGGGTTAATCTTCTGTGAAGGTTTATTTTTCCTTCCATGAAAATAATTAGCTTCTGAGGGAAACTTCTGTGGCTTTGTAAATATCCTGTTCTTCTTCATATGTTAATCTGCTGGTTTTATCTTCCATGATTGTGAGTATGTGTGAGTATGTGTGTGAGTATGTGACTATGTGTGCATTTCTTAAGTCCTGGGGATTGAACCCAAGATCTTCATACACTGAGCTACATTTCTTGCTCTTTTTATTTGTTATTTTGAGATGGGTGTCTCTAAGTTACTAAGTTGTCCAAGTGGGGCTAGCTAGAACTTGTAATTTTCCTTCCTCAGCCTCTCAGAATGCTGGGATTACAGACTTGTACCACCACACCTAACTTCCATAACTATTTTTGATTAAAACTGTTATTACTATGATTATTACAAAATGATAAACTTCAAATTTCATCATTTTTTCTACATTTATGTATAAGTACCCAATGTAAGGCGAGTCTTCAGTTCTTCAGTATCATTTATTTTAAATATTCTCATTCATTTATATCAGTGTGACATTATATATTCCCAATTATTCTCATTATTATTATTGTGTTATTAATATTTTCTCTAACTTTTCTACTGAAAGCTGTTTTAAGAGGTCTATGAGGTTCTTTCTGCTTTTTCAAATTTTCAGTTTAAAACAGAGTTTAAGTTTTAGAGGATTTTCAGTTCATAGCACAATTGAGGAGAAAGTATAGAGATTTTCCATATACTCTTGCAATTTCATACACATCCACTCCCCTGCTATCACTATCTCCTATCAGAGTGGTACATGTGTGTTGTGATACATGAACCTACATTGAGTTATCACCACCAAAGTTCATTTCTTCACTAGGGTTCAGTTCCAGCCATGTATATCCCATCAGCTTTGACAAATGTGTAATGACATGCATCAGCCTCCATTAGTATAGCATCAAGAGGATTCTGTGTCTTTTTAAATGATCATTTTCTGAGTAGTGGCTTATTATCTTGTGGAAGATGTTACAGGTGTCTCTTCTATTTCCCCAGACAACCCTAGAATCAGCCATTTATCACAAGGTTCCTGGTTTCTTTTACTGAGAAATGGCAGTTAGGAACCAAAATCTGGGATCTAGTATGTTGATAGCTCCTGGGATTTTGTTTTGCTTTTATATCTTCTAAGTAGGCAAAGCTAGGAAAAGTAAACTGATGGTTATAAATATTTTTGTGCCAATCCATGTGCAGTGCTAACCTCTCTCTCTCTCTTACTCTCTCTCTCTCTCTACTGTCTCCTCTCTCTTCCATCCCTCTGTCTCTTCCAAGTAAAAAAATGATAGCCTATTTCTTTGGTACAAGTACACTAATTCCATCATATTCAGCTGCAAGTGATGAATGATTTGACAATCATTTGATGCAAACCCTAAATATTTAACAATATATTCTGGAGATGTGTTAACCTCACCACAATACTCTGCACATACCTATATGTACATCTGCTTCTATTCTTCTATCAATCTTTGTCTCACTCCAGTCTAATGCAATTTGCCACTATTAAAGCAATATTTTTTTGTGCTATTCAATATGATCACCACTAGAAACATATATGGCTATTGTACCTTTGATAAATGGTTAGTGCCATCAAAGAACTGAAGTTTAAATGACACCTAAATTCATTAAAAATTAAATTTAAATAGCAATATGTGATTCAGGATCCATAGCAGAGAGCAGAGATCTAATCTTTGAATTTACAGTTCAATTTCAATTCAGTAACCTAGATCTAACCTTTGAATTTACATTTCAGTTTCAATTCAGTAATTTTGAATTTCAATGAGTCTGTGTTAACCGGGAGAAATCAGTTTGATTGTTGAATTTTCACACAATGAATCATAGACTCCATCATGGGTAAATCATAATCCTGTAGACCTTTTTACCATACAATATTTTAAGCTTTCAATTAAATGATAGGGTGGTCAATGTTTATTTCAGGGTTTAAATTATGGAAAGGGATGATTCCAAGCTGCTCAAATAGACTATTGCCTGATGGTGGTGACCTTTGTCAAGACAAAATCAAGAGGGAGATCGATGTTTATAAGGGTGAAGGGTGAGAATGAAGTAGATTAAAGAGGGTGCAAACACAAAGAAGATGAGATTTGGGCCATGACTGAATAAACGTTACAGATTCTACTTGCTGAGTACTGTTCTCCTATATTTAGGTCAATGCGCTTCTATGGATATTCTTTCTGCTACTATTTTAAGTCATGCATTAGACTATGGTTAGTTATTATTCTTTCAGCTTTTTCTTTTCTCTGTAGTTTCTTTATTATTATTATTATTATTATTATTATTATTTTTATTTTAGAAATAAAAGGAGGAAAATACTAACAGACCGACAACATTTTACAAAATAGCAAAGGATCAGTACAGACATAACAGAGTTACAAACAGAGTGGTAGGGAATTAACAATGCTTATTGTAGTACATATTGATATCTTCAATGTAGTTTCTCATGAAAACAC